TACAGTCCACATTAAGACCTGAAGATGGGTTTGGGGGAAAAACAGAATGAGACTGATGAAATGGAAAAATTTCTGGCTACATAATGGTCCCTAGTTTCAAGTTTCAGAGATGAAAGAGTTCTGGGATTGGGAGTAGGGAAGGAATATAGATGAGATGAAGAGAAGTGGGCTGTGAGAAACACATACACATTGGGATGTGGGAAATGATATGGTCATGGGATATTGGCTGCTAATATTCTGGAAAATGAATATGCCCTTGAGAACCAGGTTAACATGATTCAAATAACTGCAAATTTGGAAGCAATTTTCCCACTTTTGCTTATCATACAGTTTGGAAGTAGATAGGAGAAAACAGGCCTTTCTATAAACCTTACACAGATAAAGTTGGGCATGGTAGTTCATATCTGTAGTACCAACACTCAGGAGGATTACCATGAATTCAAGGCCAGCCTGGGATACACAATGAGTTCCAATAATACACACAAAAATCTTTCATTTCGTGAATATTCTTTAGAGACTGAATTAACCAAATAGCAAGTTTTATGCTCTAGATTTCTGGCTTCTCAGGAAAAATAAAATAATCCTCTGGAAAAATAAAATGTAATTGTCTGATTGGGTGGGCCAAGATTTCCTCACAGAAGCAATAGAATTCTTTCCCAGCTGGCCTGAGTTCTCTGCACCCCTTATTGCTGCCCCACACTGGCTGAGTGGTAGCTATATTTATCAACATGTTCACAAGTCTGTTCTTGAGTTGGGAGAAGATTAAAATATTTCTGTGTCAAGGACCTATGAAAATTAGAAAACCAAAGATGAATCAGGGAGTATAGTTCTCAGTATTTTATATGCAAAGTATAGCATTATTTTTAAAACTATAAGTTCTATGAGACAAATCCACCTAGCTTCACTCATTGTTTCCCTTATTGATGCCAGGGATCTCATAGGCCTCACAGGCATTTGAGTTTTCAATGACCAATGACTCCTGTAATAAAATAATGATATAAAAGCACTCAAGTACACAAGAGAGAATTTAAAAAATAGTGTGACAAACAAGTACCTTTAGAGAGAATTGTATTAGTATACCATATTGTTACTTTTTCTGATAGAATAATCTTATCGAATCCCCAGTAATTAATAGATTCCCTCAAAGTGCTGCCTAATTCAATAGCCACAAAGAAAATTTAATGAATTCACAAAGTGGTTCCTCACTGACTGGAAAGCATCGATGTAATTCTCTGAGTGCCTGGCTTCTTGGCAGCCATATACACTTGCAGAAGACAGATCTAAGGAAAATGGATGAAGGTCTTTTAGTGCCAAAGAAGTATAAGAATATGGACACCAAAAATTTTGGCAGGTCTAACTTGCCACTTTAGTGCCCAGGAAGAAAGGAATCACACATAGTTCTTCTTGTTAAGGATCATGATAAACATAATCTAAGTTGTAGGGGCATAGTAGATTAAAAATCAACAATGTGGATTGACTCAGCAAATGGCTACCTAGTGTGGACCAGTACTTTGATGTAATCTGCCATTTCCTTAAAGCATTTGGTCTTCTACTTTCTGCTCCAGTTAGCTCTCTCATTAAGCATTTAGGGAGCAATCAAAATATGGAGGCTCAGAAGTTGAACTGCATTTTTAGAGATATACAGGAAATAAGATGAGATTGGGGATTGGGAAATGAAAATTGTCATAATACATTGAGGGAGAAAATAATGTGGAGGCCAAGTGCTCAGTGAGTCAGAAACATTTGGAGAGTCGTAATATTAGAGCCTGTGAACTGGAAACCAGATATGAATTCATAACCTATGAGGGTATAAGTGACAGCAAGAAGTTCGTAAACAGCATCAGGGTTATTTGGGGGAAGCAGAAAGGTTATCATGGACCAGGGAGCTTGAAAAGCTTAAGTCCTAGGCTTCAAACTAATGATGCAAACAAATGGAAGACAGCCTGGTGAAGAGTGACCACAGTGTTTAGAAGCTGAGATGAACGAAATGTGAAGAAAGCCCAAGAGAGATAAAGTTGTATGCTGCAGGCATGTGAGAGTGAGATTATAAAGGTATGTGTTGACTTTAAACACGAACAAAACGATTACCAGAATTCAGTCATGACTATGTTGATGCCATAAGCTGGCATGAATACTGTGGAGTTATCCAGGAGGAGCGTTTACTAACAGCATGCCTATCTTTTGCTGCTTTGCTCTGAAAATTAGGCTAAAGGAAACACTAAACAGTATTTGTTGAGGAATGACTATGATATTTTGGCTCCCTTTCTAACTCTAACTTCTATGAATTTTACAATGCCATGAAAACACTTCAGCAAGAATTTTGGCATAATATTTACAATTTCTTTAATAACATTGCTCATGGAATAGAAACAGTGAAAGCATTACTTAGTAACTGCAGAGGAACAGGCAGGAAGGAGGAGAAATAAGTGCTTACTACACTGTGTGATGAAGGGAAAAAAATCTTAGTTCATTTTATTAAGAAACCTGTTGGGAGCCAAGAACTGTACATGTCAGAGGAGCACGCTGCTTCCCATCATCATATCTGACTAACCGTGTTTAAGATTGGGCTGCTTATGGGATGGAATACTGCTCCAACATCAGCAGGCATGTGACCAGTGGCTTGTGGGAGACAAGCACTTAGGTGGGGGATAAAAAGGAACCTGGCACAGGCCTTGGGCTTCTGGCATCATTAGTTATGGGTCTGCCAAGATGCTTTGGGGAACGTTTTAATTTAAAAGCCAAGTCCATTTCAAGGAAGTCTCCCTGATTTGACCTGCTGGGAGTCTAGAGTGAGACAGATAGGCCTTCATTTTGGAGGGCATTGGTGAATTAGATGATGTGTTCATAAAAAAAGGCATCCTGGGTGTTCCAACCTCAGTGTGTTCCCACTCAGAGCACTCCAGGTAAGACTTCCAGCATCAATGCCTGTCACATGCAGCCACATAGTAGAATATGGATTGGATTCTACTATGGAGAAAGGCCCTCCAGGTAATTACTGAAAATATCAATATCAGAAAACTTCAAGAAGGAAGTCCCCTGCATTCTGCTTTCCCTCCACAACACACTGACAGGTGAGTATGACTGTAGATTTGATAAGGTCAGTGAAGAACTGGATTGTTATTTGAATATATTTTTCTGCAAAACTGTCACAAGACAAAAAAAATTATTTCGAAGCTAAACTGAAAGAGGAGTTTAAAAAGCAGGGAGGGGATGGGGCTGAAGAAGGAATTAAAATGTTGGATATCCACATAAAACATTTCTTTGCGTATAGGCCCAGTTTGGCAAATGATATATAAAGGCTTGTCCAGTGGGTTACAAGAGCACAAATCCAGAGGATCAGAGGAATTAAAACACTCCCAAGAATGCAGGGAAGTATTTGATGTTGCTTCTGGGGCAAGGGTGGGTATGTTTATGAATGTAAAGCGCATTTCCTTAGATTTCTTGGCAATTTGCTATCACACCATGCCAAGGAGGGCAACTTCAGCCCCTATGGCTGCTAGGGAAGCTCATTTTCAGAAAAGGGAACATACAAGTGGGAGAAAAGCTGGGGTGTTGGAGCAGGGCAGGGGGCTGGAGCCCAGGGTGCCTGGGATGGGGAGGTGTGTGGAGGCGTCGGGTGCCACAGCACAGTTTCCTTGCTTGGATGGGCAATACTCCCGTACTCTGGCTGGCCTTCAGGAACCGAGGTTTAGGGGAGGTGTTTGCAACACGTTCAGCATTCATTTTGATGCCATCCCAAAAGATGGGCTTGATGTGGATGGCGGCCAGGAGGGGTTGGACCTGCGAGCATCCTTGGTGGTGGGGATCAGAAGGGACACAGGCAGGGAGGATGGTAGTGACGAAGCTTTGTGCGAAGACCAGAAGGCACCGAATAGACTTAGGGGTGTCTTCTGTCCCCCAAAGCCTGCCAGCCAGCCCACCCCTCACCCTGCCCCAGCTTTCTGGCGACTGGTTCAGGAGCCCAAGGACTGGTTCCAGTATGTAAAAATGGGTCTGGTCCGGCGGGGCGCTTCGGCGGTGGCTTCCCAGGATGGGTGGGAAGGACTCGGTTCAGGGTGCGGGCTGGGGACTGCGCAGCGGCCCTGGTACCCTGGAACCCCGGCTGCCTGTAGGTGATAGGCAGCTGGGGGAGGCGGGAGTGCGACCTGCGCCACAGCCGCGAAGTCAAGAGCCCTGGACCCGGGGTAGGACCCCCGGGGCCGCATCCTGAGGGGACACTGACGGGGCTGGGTACTGGACGGCCTCGGGGGAGCGGGGAGCCCGAGAAGCCCCGGCGTCGCCGCCGCAGCCGCAAGCCTCGTGTGAGGCGCCTCCGCGTGGCGCGAGCTCGTCGGGGTCGGCGTGGGGCGGAAGTCGGAGGGCCTCGCGGGCTCTGCGCCTGGGGGACGCGGCTGGGCTCGTCGGGGGCGCCGGGCCTGAGGGACGCGGCTGGGCTCCTCTAGTCCGGGGCGCCAGGCCTGGGGGACGCGGCGGGGGACGTCGGGGGCGCCGGGCCTGGGGGACGCGGCAGGGGACGTCGGGGGCGCAGG